GGATTCACCATTTCTAACAGGACATGTCTGTGGTAACCCCAACCTTTACAGAAACTGGAGAAAAATCTGCTCCCAGTAATGTATTTTTGATTAATATTACCTTTTTGAAAATCAAAGCTCTCCAAACAGATGAAGTGACTGTGCTGGTTACACTTCACTGTAAAATTGTGTTCAGGCAAGCTCTGGAGGCTTCTCACCACCTTACCTTATCTAGGGAATAAGCTGTCCAGGAAGTTCCACCTCCCAGGATATAAATCCTTTGACCATCGTGTGCAATTTCATGCCTGTACCTGAAGGTGTGCAGAGGTGGATATTTAGCAGCACAAGAAATCAATGCAAGTGAGCAGCAACAAAACTTTCTGGAAACATTAACAAATCTGAGTGGTTGAAACAGACATCCCAAGCATGGCTCAGCTGTATCAGACCCCCAGGCTGGGAGTTTTTAGATGTGGAAGTTTTCACGAGCAACCTAAGCAGCACCTCAAGAGCTGGGAAGAGCTTCTGAGAGCAGAGTCTCACAGATCTCAAGTACAACAGTTTATAGAGCACCGTGGCAGTCCTTAACACTTCTTTCCCTTTTCTCACTGAGAAGGTCACCAACTGAAAGCTTGCTACAGAATGAGGCAAGGAACAGGGATCAGCTGGAGCCTCTTCAGCACTCAACAGCTGCCTCAAGTTCCCAGCTCTGTTCTGGCATTGCATATTGTTCTGGCAGAGGCTTCACACCCCCTCCCTACACCCCTGTGCATATCATAATGCTGGAGCACTGGTTGTGCAAGGCTCACAGCCAAAAGCACCGCTCTGACAGTACTGTCTCAGCTTCTCAGCAAAGGTGGTGATTTCCCAGCTTGAAAGCTCTCCTCACCTCTCCTCTGGCATGTCGCAGGACATGTTGTTTGGTTTCAGTTGGATCCACTCTCTGGTGTTGAGGTCTAGTTTATGCAGGTCGGTGCTGTAAATGTAACCAGTTGTTCCACCAAACACATACAGAGACCCATTGATGATGGCCATGGCCTGGAAGGCAGAGAGAAACCAGTTAGAAAGGACACAGAGCATCAGCACTGAAAGAGAAAGAGTCCCAGCCTCCCAAAGGAAGGACACACAGCACACGCAGTGTGTCTGACAGAGGGCCTTCCCTCCTACCTGGCCATAGATCCGATTGGGTTTCTTTCCTCTGCAGCTGAGCAGGGCCCATCTTTTGTACTTGACATTGCAGACGTGGACATCGTTGCCATTACTTTCCCCAAATGGGATTCCAGTGCCCCCAAACACAAGCAGGTTGTTGCCATGCAATACAACTAGGAGAGACAGACAGGGCAGAGATGTTTGTTGCAGTGAAATGCAGTGAAACAGAACTCTGGAAGGAGAAGGCAGCAAGCGTTGGTTGTTGTTCAGATACCCTACAACTCACACTGTGCATTTATGGCCTTGAAATGCTCTAAAAGAGAAAGAATGCAAGCTAAAACCATGGCAACCAAAGACTTACTTTAAAAAATGGCTAGTGAACAACGGGATCTATTTTTGGGTGCTCTGTCTGACTGCAGCAAGCATCTATCCACTGAGAGCAGAGGCCTTGCAACTGTTAAGCTAAATTTCCAAAGACTCTCTCTTGCATTTTACATTTTTAACTCCTCAACCCTAGCAAAAGGGCAAAGGAGAAAAAGAAATAATCAAAAATCCCATTCCCAACTCAAGGCCTAATTGCACAAGAGTTGGAAACAGGATCCAGATTTCCCAGTTCTTGTCTGGTTTTTCATTCCATCAGGGACACCGATTAAAATAGCTTCAGGCTTAGGTGCATAGGAATTGGATTTCCATACGTACGTGACATGGAGGCCAGCTCCCTGGGCATGTAGCCCTCAGTGCCCATTTGGTGCCACGTGTCTGTAGCAAAGTTGTACCGCCAGAGCTCCCTGAACAGTGGGTAGTCTTCGTTCTCTGGCCCACCAGACTCATCGTAGTCAGGATTGTAGCCTCCAAACACGTACAAATTGGCATTATCTGCCACGCAGCGATGGCCGCTTCTCGCTGGTGGAGATCTCTGGCCTGCAGCAAAAAGACAGAACAGCTCTGTGAACAAACAGCAAAGGAGCTGAGCTTCTGTGTGAGGACACCGCACTGGGGTGGTCCTCCAGCAGGAGCAGCTGGTGTGGAACAGCAAGGAAACGCATCTGCATCCAGGAGGTGACAGCTCTGATGCCAGATCCACACCTGAGCAAGAACACAGACAGCTCAAGTGCTCCCAGTGCCTTGCATCTCAGCTAGGTTCTTCCACGGCATGCAACACAAGTATGATACAGCAAGAAGTCAACAGCAAAGGCATTAGCACAGGGAGGGAGTGCTGCAGGGAGCCCATCTCTGCAGCTGTGCCTCAAGGAGCCCTTCCCTAAAGGGAGCCCTCTGCCTCTTCCCCACAACGATACAGGTGGAGTGCAGGGAACTGAGGCTCAGAACTCAACCAGAACAGGCCAAAAGATCGACACACACACATGGCAGCCAGTCCAGGGAAACCCAAACAGCAATAAATTGAAGCCTGAACTGGTAAGTGATTGAAAAGTAATTCCAAGCTTGTTCTAATTCAGAGCTGAGTAAGAGTCTAGCATAGTGCCAGGGACAGAAGTGAGACAGAGGACCATGCAATGAATGAGAAAGATGAAGGGAAGAAAACCAATCAGGTCTCAGAACAAAGGGATCCAGTTATGAGACATTTCAAACTGACCTGGAAGGTTTCAAAACCGAAGTGGATCCCCCAAGATTCCCTCATCCACGCACCACCCGTGTGCTCTCCCTGCTCTATTATGGACTTTTATGATGGAACAGGACCCAGAGAAGTGCCTACTGAGGAACCATCATGCTTCTTACAGCTCATTGCAATTATCAGCAGTGAATCAGATGTGCAGAGCAATAACAAATGAGACGAAATCAATGATTAATCCAGACTGGATTCTGGATTTCAGCTTAGCATGGGCAGATGTGTTTCATCACATTCCCACTTTGCTGCTGTTGGAAACTCCAACTCTTGTGCAGAATTAAGCTGTTCTGCAGGACTCAAGCAAACCCCTTGAGGCAAAGTTCTAAGGGATTTGAAATCCTTCCAGTAATAACTGCATCTCACAGTGATTCCCCACTCAGAAAAGCAATAAACTGAAAGCGAAGGAAGAAAATGAAGGAATTTTGCTCTTGACCAATGGGAGCTCACCCAATTCGTGCCTTCTTCTGGGTGTTCCCTGACGGTCTTCAAAGGGGGCTGCAAAGAACAGAGATGGGAGAGCTTAATTCCAGGAGACTGGGAGCACTGAGGCACTGGAACAGGCTGCCCAAGGAGGCTGTGGATGCCCCTGGATCCCTGCAGGCATTCAAGGCCAGGCTGGATGTGGCTCTGGGCAGCCTGGGCTGCTGGTTGGTGACCCTGCACACAGCAGGGTGTTGAAACTGGATGATCTTTGTGGTCCTTTGCAACCCAGGCCATTCTATGATTCTGTGATTCCTTAGGGCAAAAGTGGGAATGGTAAAACTTACAGGGAACGAGCAGCCACACCAATGGAATGAAGCTGAAACAGCAGAGCAGGGCCAGAAGGAGGGAAGTTCTAATTTTGGGCCGAGCTATCTGACAGCAACGTGCTGGCTGTCACTGCACACTGACCTGTTAACACCCTGTTACATTCACCTCCCCCAAGGGATTCATTAAGTGACTTCAGAGGGAGCTGCTGGGATGTCCCAGGCTGACTTCATTGGAGCAGATTCCTAATTGAATATCTCTGCAGCATAAGGAATTGATAGAACAAAAGGAGAGGAAGGAAAAAAAGGCAGTGTGAACGCAGCATCCATGCAGGAGATGCTTCCCACCTCTCAGAAAGCTCTGAATGCAGAATGGGGAGAAGAGAGATGTCATGAACTTAAAGACACCCTTCATTTTAGAGGAGGGAAGTTTATTAAATTCCAGCACTGCAGCCTCCACACCACTGCATAGAAAGCCTGGAAAAGATGAAAAAGCCTTCTTGCTTTCAAGTAATCAGCAGATTTCTTGGAGCTATGCAGCAGATTAAATGCTATCAGCATGCCCAGTGTGTGTCAACAGCTACAGCCAACCTGCAGGGATTGCTCTGCTGTATTCCAACACCTGCACAAAGTTACACAGGAGGAAAATCAAACTGTGAGTGAAGATTCAGCTCAGCCACTGCATCAGCAGCAGCAAGAAGGGTAAGGTGAGAGGCACTGACACACAGAGCAGCACAAAGACTTGCAGAGAACAAAGGCATTTTCTTTCCATCTGATTATCCTCCCTTTCATGAGGGCAGGAAAAAAAAAACCAGGCTGGCATCATCTCACCAGCTGGGTTAAAGGAGAGCAGGATACCTGCTATTCCAGTTTGTGAGCTACCAGCTGGCTCGCTTTGTTTGTTTGTTTGCATTTAAAAGAAGGGGAATAGGTCTGATTAGGTGAAAGCATTTCTTAGGAATAGAAATAAGCAACAACAGACTTGAATACAAATTTGTTTTGGGAGCCTACTTGAAGCTGCCCTTTTCTTATCAGGACTGTGCTGCCAGATAAACAAATTAATGTATTAATCAGTGTCAAACCTCTTGGCAAAGACTGAGATCTGCCTCCATCAGCTTCTGTAGGACTTGGTTTTACTTTTGAAGGGAGTTTTCTTTCCTCACTACAATCCCTCATTATCAATTCCCAGTAAAGCGATGCAACGCCGTTCTCCAGAGGTTGCAAACTCCCAGCTGCTGTTGCCTCCCTTGTCCTCAGCAGCCCAGGAAGGATCCAGACCCCATCACCTCCTCAGAAACACAGAAAGGAGAATGAGAAGAGCCCCGGGTCGATCTCACCATGGACAGGCACAAGGCTGAGCAGTGGCCAAGGCTGAGCAAAGCCAAAGAAAAATAATTCCTAGATCCTACAGGAGCAAAGAAGCCTTGTTTCTAAGCTCTGCTTGCCAGGGATACCAAAAATTACCCTTTGGCACAGCCAGAGCACCAGAATCCACCCCAGGAGCCCTTGAGGAACTTTGGCCTCCCTCTTTTGGTCTTGAAGGACCGTTGGAGACCCATCTGAAGCTGGAGTGCAATAGGAGGTTTAAATGCACTCAGGGAACTGGTGGGAGGTATTGGCACCGACCTCTGCTCGTCACTGATCACTGAGGTGAACACACTGCACATCATCCCACATGGATGACAAGAATTAAAAGCACAGCTGGTCTTGATGTTCAGGATTGACAACACACAGTTGAAACTTAGGGTGAATTCAGGAGAAATGTTTGGCTTCTAACCTTCAGAAAAGAAGAAAAGTTACCAAAGTGCCTACAGCTCAAGGACAAGCAAGTATTCTGTGCATTTTCTAACCAAGATGCATCTGAAAATTCACTTTAATTTCCATTCTGGTTAAAAGAATTGCATCCAGAGAGATGTTCCTCTCAGAACTTAGGGACTATTTGCTTTTTCATATTTACTGATGAGAACCATTTGCACACACAGCCACGGATCCTCTTCACTGTATGTGTGACTCACATCTCGACTTGAAAAGAAGGCTGCAGGGTGGCCTCATTGCAGCCTTCCAGGACCTAAAAGGAGCCTATGAAAAGGAAGGGAGTCAACTCTTTTGAAGTGTAGATGATAGCAAGACAAGGGGAAGTGGTTTGAAATTGAAGGAGGGAAGATTGAGGTTGGATGTGAGGGGGAAGTTCTTTGCTATGGGAGTGATGAGGTGCTGGAAGAGCTGCCCAGAGAGACTGTGGATGCCCCGTCCATGGCTGGAGGTGTTGGAGGCCAGGTTGGATGGGGCCCTGGGCAGCCTGGGCTGCTGTGAAATGGGGAGGTTGGTGGCCCTGCATGCAGCAGGAGGGTTGGAGCTTCGTGATCCTTAAGCTCCCTTCCAACCCAAGCCATTCTGTGATTCTCCCCTCCTGCAGACCACGTGGAACACAGCTTCCTTCATTACTCCTGGAGCAGATCTGACAGCTACCAGGGGCGTTTTGGAAACACAAAATTATAAATAGAGGACACAAAGCTAACAAATACAGCGTGTCTTTTAGTGACATCTTTTCAAATGCTGCTGCTGAATAATTAAGGTTCCTGCACACATCCTTTTTGCTGCTTCTTAAGGCTTCATTAACACGTTATCAAGACTCTGTTCAACATATGGAATAGGTTTCAGTATCTCCCTTCCCACACATGACTTCAGCAAGACTTCTGAAGGACATTCAGGCTGAGGGCTGAAGCCTAAGCACTGCTAGCTCCTGGGAGAGAGAACAAGTCAGTATTGACTCCAACACATTTTCAGCTTCTTCACACTGGCCTGAACAAAATACGTTTGTAATTCACGTGGTAGATTCCATTATAAAAATCACAGCTGCCTCCCAGCAGCCTCTTGCATTTCTGAAGCCTCCAAAGGGGAGTTTGGAGAAGGATCCATCATCCCACATGATGAGAGCTCAGATCGATGGGCAGAACAGGGCTGTCTCTCTCTGTGCTTCCACACATCTTTGCATTTCAAGCTTTCATACAAGAAAGCAATTGATTTTTGGTATTTCCCACGAGGGAAAGGGCCAAAAATAAAGAAAAACATTGAGGATGATCGATCAGAAGCAGAGCAGAATGGACACAGCTCACACAGAGAGCTTCAAACGACACTCAGAGCAAAGGAGCCCTGAGGAAATAACCATCCTTAGTGAGAAACCAGAGCAAAAGAAGAAATGTTTCCCCTAAAAATGCAAATATCACTGGGACAATTACAGCTCAAGGCACAAATATAAACGCTGAGCATGGAAGGAGCAAAGATATAAAGATATTTAGGTCTCCAGCTTCTTTCTACCCACTTAACCCCAGGAGTGTGATGAAAACACTGAACAAAATGTATATATATATTGGTATTGTGATCATTCATTCTCAAGGTGGACAGGAAGATTTCCAGTGGGGAAAACAAAAGACAATGCCTACATTTGACATTTTGCATCGTTCCAAAGCTTAGAATTCAATATAGCTCCTTCCTTTCCCATAGCCAACATAGGATTTCAGATGTCTTGAAGAATCTTTATATACAAATGACCATCAGAAATAACCCTCTGGAGAAAGTAGCTCTGCACAATTCTGACATTAAAACGCCCTCAAAACTTATCCGTGGTTGTACAATAAATGGCAGAGGGTGAATGTGAGGAAAGCAGCACCTGAATTCACACCATGGTGTTTAAGTGGTGATGTGTTTTAGCCAGGAGATTGCCCACAGCCACTTGAAATGACACTACTGGCAGCAGCAGAGCTCTGCAGAGAAGGACGGAGGGCACGCATCCACTTCCAGAGCACATGGATCCAGGAAGATCTTCCATCACTTTTTCACCAAGTGATCTTCAAGCTTGTTGAGGTTGGCTTTAAGCGCATACGCTGAGCTGAGCAGGATCTGTTTGTCCCCAGTTGTCAGATGGCAGAATTCCAGGTTTGGGAATGACCCTTAGCCAAAAGATGGGATCAGTGCAACCATCTCAGGAGGATGCATGGTTACATTTGCTCAAGCCAAGTGACTGTAAACTGAGAGTGAGAAAATAACCAGCCATTGTGATACCGCCTTATCACGAAAGGAAGGAAGGAAATGTGTCTGAGCATTGGCCCAAAAATAGGTGTGGAGCTGCTCAGCACATTCACACAAAGCCTGAGGGCGTCTTTCTTTGCTCTTATGCAGGCACAACAGTGAAAGACTGGGTCCAGAGGAGAGCCACAGAGATGATCAGGGGACTGGAGCACCTCCCCTACGAAGACAGGCTGAAGGAGCTGGGCTTGTTCAGCCTGGAGAAAAGAAGGCTGAGGGGTGACCTCATTGCAGCCTTTCAGTACCTAAAGGGAGCCTACAAACAGGAGGGGAGTCAACTCTTTGAAAGGGTTGATAACTGCAGGACAAGGGGAAATGGTTTGGAGTTAAGGGAGGGAAGATTGAGGTTGGATGTCAGGGGGAAGTTCTTGACAGAGAGAGTGGAGAGGTGCTGGAACAGCTGCCCAGAGTGGCTGTGGATGCCCCATTCATCCCTGGAGATGTTCAAGGCCAGATTGGATGGGGCCCTGGGCATTTGCACATGTGGGAACAGGGGATGGGATTTGAAGGGATGGGAAATGTATACCATGTACTTGCAAGGATGGGATTCAAAAGGGTGGGGAACATCTCCCATGGCCCATCACGGAACCAAGGGGTGCCCCAATACAGCAGGAACAATGGGATGGGAGTGACTTCTCCAACTGTGGGATAATCTCAGCCACCTCCCTTAATGCTTTGGGGCTGTTGGGAGAACTCCCATACCCAGAGCCGGGGTGGTTGGGGGGGGTTTGGGGATCCATGGCCCCATCTGTGTGCACCAACACAGGGAGAGCTGAGGGGAAATAGGGGAGAAGGAACTAGGCTTTCCTTCTTAGGGAATAGGGCTAAGCTTACACAGCACCCAAAACTTCTACAAGACCAAATCCTCCCAGAGGGGCAGCACAGCACCCAAAATCCCCATATTAGAGCTGGCACCTCCCCCTTTCCCCCCACCCCCCCCAGAAAAAAATCTTAAATCGGGATTGAAGATTAACACTACATTCCCCCCCCAATACACCGATATTGGGGCCGAGAAGATCGACAGCCCCCTCCGTACCCCCCAATGCTCCCAGTGCCCCCAACACCCCCACCCCAAAAAGCTGAGTGACACTGAAGCCCTCACGGCCCCTTCCGGCCCGAGGGTCCCACTAATCCCAAGAGGCCCCTCCCACCGCTCACCCGCCGTGTGCGGCCTCCCCGGCAGCTGCACGAAGCGGTTGAGGAGCCTGTCCTCCGCCCTGCCCCGCAGGCCGTTCAGCTCCCGACCACCATCAGCCGCCGCCATGGCCTCGACCGCTTCTCCTCAGGGAAAATCCCCCCCCCCCTCCCCAAAGGGCCGCCATGCCCGTCGACCAATCAGCGATCGACTTCTGAGGGTTCTGCCAATCAGATGCGGGCTTGTTGGAAAGTGGGGAAAGAGTAAGGGAGGAGCTGCGCCTTTTGCTAGCCAATCAGAGAGCGGTTTTTCGAGACGCTGCCAATCAGACGCGGGCTTGTTGGGAGGTGGTGAGGCGCTGAGAGAGCCGAGCGATCGATTGGTGCGCGTATGGGGCAGGCTGAGCTAGTGGAGCGCCGAGCTGGGAGAGAGCGCGCAGAAGGGGGAACGGAAACCGGCGGAACGAACGTGCGCGGCCGCGGTGCCCCCACCCGGCCCCTGGGCAGTGCTGCGCTGGGGACCAAGATGGCGGCGCCCAGCGCCGAGGCGGCCGGGGGGGTTCGGGGTAGGCCGCCCGCCGTCACCCCACAGCAAATCCGGGACCTCATTGATGGAGGCATCGCTTCTGAGGGCAGCGGGCCCGAAGGGTGAGGGGGGGGGAGGGGGGGCGGCGGCGGCGGCTGGGCTTGGGGAGAGCGGTGGGGCGTGGGATGGGGCTGGGTGGTGCGGTACCGAGGGAGGGGGCTGGGGGTTGGAGGCAGAGCTGTGAAGGGACGCTGGGAGTCCTGGGGGGGCAGTGGGAGGTGTTGGGTTTTGTGGGAAGGGGTAGTGGGAGAGGCTGGGAAGCATAGAAGGGGTAGTAGAGGGGAGCAACTGGGAGTGCTGGCAGGGTACTGGGGACGTTGGAGGGGTATTAGGAGGCGTTGTGTCCTCTTGTAGGGAAGGGTAATGGGTAAACGAGATGCTGAGATGGGCTGGGAGGGATGGGAAGCATGGGGAGGCACTGTGAGGTGTTGGGGTTTGTTATGGGAAGGGATTCTGGGGACACAGGACACTGGGGGGGGGGGGCTGGGAGGCACTGGGAACCATAGGGTGGTGGTGGGGGGGGGGGGGTTGGTAAGTGAGAACACTGGGGGTGATGATGGGAGGCTGGAGATGTTGAAGGGGTATTAAGAAGTATTGAGTCTTTTTGTGGGGAGAAATACTGGTGAAATGGAGTGCTGGGAAGGACTGGCAGTGATGGGGAGGAACTGAGAAGCACTAGGAGGCACTGGGCATGCTGAGGGTGTATTAGGAGATGTTGGGGTTAGTTATGGCAAGAGATTGTGGAAAAGCAGGGCTCTGGGAGGGACTGGGATGCATGCAGGGACACTAGGAGGGGACAATTAGAAAGCACCGGGCCAAAGGATGTCTCTGAGGGGGTTCTGGGGATGCTGAGGGGTCACTGGGGGGGGGTGGGTAGGGTTTGTTATGGGAAAGGTTGCTGGGGAAGTGGGACATTGGGAGGGATTCGGAGAGACTGCGGGGTAATGAGAGGGGCAACTGAGAGAAACTGAGGATACTGAGAGAATAATGGGAGGTGTTGGGTATTGTTGCGGGGTTGGTTACTGGGAAAACAGACACTGAGAGGGACTGGGAAGCATAGAGAGGCTACTGGCAAGGAAATGGGGGAACTGGGAGGGGGCACCTGGGAAGCACTCGGTGGTGCTGAGGGGATACTGGGACTCATTAGGAGATACTGGAGGTGCTGAGGACATATTAGGACTTTTTGGGTCTTGTTGCAGGAAGGAGTTCTGGAGAAACAGGGCACTGAGACGGGCTGGGAGAGACTGGGAATTGGGGGGGGACACTGGGAGGGGACAAATGGGAGACAGTGGGGGTGCTGAGGGGGCACTGGGTCTTGTGGGAAGCACAGGAGACACTGGGAGGAGGTGAGTGGGAACTCTGGAATGA